TTTTCTTGTAGTGTAGTAAATAAGCAAGATTCACAGACTACAACAGAATAGTCGCTGTTCATATTTTCATTTTGTTCATAAAACACACACACATACACACACACATTCTTTCATCAATCTTAAAACTGAAACTTTAAAGGTTAAATTGAACTGGCACAAATAATGATTTACATATAGATCATAATATTGACAAATAATTGTCAGTATTATCAGCCACTGTTTGTATTGTTTGTAACGTCCAAAGAATTATTTTGTCGGTCATCAGATTTCAAGTTGAAGCCCTAATGTGTGTTCGTCCGATTGCGGGATCACAACTGCATTGATAAAGATGCATGTACATCATGCAGAAAAAAAGTTATACATTTACACAGTTATGTTTCCCTTCTGAATACAGATGGATTAGATATATATTAGGTATATATACACAGACAATGAGTCAGACACACACACAAACACACACACACACACATATATAATTATGACAAAACTAAACTTAATATATTTACATAAAATATTACAATGGTAGCTGATTTAACATATGTTATAGATAATCATAGTAATGCACTTCATATTGTTATCAACGTTAACTCTGTGGCCACACTAATTAGGATGTCTCTCCATATGTGTAGTTTACACATGTACACATATTAACTGTGATAACGCCACAACGATAGGGGGCAGTGGGATAGCCTAGTGGTTAAAGCGTTCGCTCGCCACGCCGTAGCCCGAGTTCGATTCCCCACATGGGTACAATGTGTGAAGCCCATTTCTGGCGTTCCCCGACGAGATATTGCTGGATTATTGTTAAAAGCGACGTGAAACCATTCTCACTCACTCACAGTGGTGTTTATCAAATTACTATATGCAAGTACATATACTTGTAGATGTGCATAAAACAAGAGACACAATTCAAATTGATCATACAGCAAATGTCAAAATGAATATTTACGGACATTAGTATGACATACTGTAACATCATACACTACCGAAAACAAGTTATAGAACACCCACATTTATAAGATTGTAGTTTGCAATACAATCAGCCTTGACTAATTAACCATAGTCTTCTGAACTTCTTTTGAAAAAGTATATATTTAGATTTTAACTTGATTTATTTAAAGCGTATTTCCTTGATCCGCAACACGCTTTCGACGTGATGGTCAGATAAAACTACATAGGGCCATAAACCAATCACTTAAATTGTACGCAAAAATCTGTGGAATGTTTTAAAATCACCTACGACTGTAAAGTTAAATAATGTTTTAAGTAAGTTTAAGTATGTACTTTTAATTCTGCTTCATTCACATGTGCAGTTTAGCTCATTTGGTAACGTCGCTGACTGCGGGTGAAGGGAATACGAGTTCGAATCCAATTCTAATGTATGTTTTTAATATAAAAACAAGTATTATGCACAAAAAAAAAATTGGGGGGACAAAAATAACCAAAATCATCTTAATAATCTTCATTTTATTTACACCTTTCAATTTTGTTATGCTCTGGGCATAGATAGGTGATGTTTTGTAAATCAGCCACTTTCCTGACGTAAATCCCGATGCATTCCCAATGCACCCAATAATTGCAAAAGGTTTCCTTTTAGTCACAACCAATCCACTTGGCATTATTGTCCACAGTGCACCCATATAAACTGTCACAAATAGGACAAATAGTTTGGTTATGACTGCTTTGTTTTTGTTTACGTCTTTTGTTGGACCTTTTTGTGATGTCAGTTGTGGTTTCAACCGTGGGAGTTCTTGACTCGGGGTAAGTGATAGAAGTAGATGTTTGGGGTTTGAAGTTGACCATACAGTGTTGGAAGCGGTTCAGGAGTTTGGGTACTAACATGCGAGGTTGTTGAAATTGGTGCAGCCTGAGTTTGCGAAAGATGTGTGGGTTTCATTAAATGAATCGTTTCATTGTTAATTGGAACGCGTTTGTTAAGCTGGAAGAAAATGAAAACATTAATATATGCATATTTGCGGTTCATTAAACCTACATAATGTGTTTTAAATTGATTGTAAAAGTTTGTAAAATTTATAGTATATCACAACATGTGAAATGCCTTTGGGACTCATTGATACCCCGGTGTGGCCATCTGATGGGGATCACTTGCATCAGATCCTCTGATCTCCAAGTAGGCTTCTATAATCAATAATTTTGTATAACAGATGAAAACCAACATACTGATGCCAGTTGGTGATGAGCTACTGACAATTCCCTGTCGCCGGAGATAGCAGGGTGGAGATCTTGGCTTAGAAAAAGCAAGCATTTAGAGGCAAGCCCTTGCACACCCCACCTGACAGGCCTGGACAAAATCACGTGTTAGATCCAGATGTATAGCAGTGGCACGACGCCATTTTCTCTGACTCTGACGCACGCACGCACACGCACACGCACGCACACACACACATACACAGATTATTTTTTGTGTTTATTAGGAAAATAGTGACATTTATTTCCGAAATTATTTCAGAGAAATAATGATTAAGGAGAATCTTCTAGAAAAGGGTGGAAGACCCACAGTGAAGAAACTCTTCATTACGCCAGAAGATCGCAAAGAGTCAGAAAAGCCCACCCACTGCCATTGATTCCTCTTTGTGGATTTTTTTACTTTAACATCCTGAAACAAATTTTACCAACATAACAATATTTTATACTTCTTTTCATAAATAACAACGAAATTTATTTGTAATACATACACATGTATATTCAACAGTTAAATGTCCATAAAAACATTATGATACAGCACAAAGACTATGAATTGCCTACACTTATTGCTACTTTTAGCAATGCAGCGCGAACTATTTCAAAAAATTTCCATTGATCACTGACGCCAAGGCCCGAATTGGGCGTTACCTGACTGCCTGGACTGCAGGTGGCGGGTCAGAGTAGGAAGCATGGTGGACGGAGAGAGTGGTTGACAAAGTACATTTCAGGTAATTTTTGACTTTCAATTTAGTGTTTTTGACTGATTTAAAGCACAGAATGTGTCCAAATGGTGTCTTCACGTTACGCCGACCTTTAGACATTTGGGGTCAAAATAAACTTTAAAAATCATAATAAATTTTAATTTATTTTCATCAGATGGACTTCGAAGTCGCTGCCAGGAATGCTGCCATATCGCGGTTTCCTCGTGCCACATGGAAGGGATGCTTCTTCCACTTTGCCCAGTGTGTATGGCGGAAGACCCAACAGTGCAACATGCAGAAAGACTATACTGACAGACCAGAGATTACAAAGTTCGTCAAGCAGTGTGCAATAATGCCACTCATTCCTGTTGGCAATGTAAGTAGTAACCAGACCGTTAGATTAGACTCTATTAACTTGATATACGTAATATACATGTTAATGTGTAATATATTCAATATGCATGTTAATGTGTGAAACTGACAGGATTACATTTTTATCTTAAGGTTGAAGACTACTTCCTTGACCTAATGGAGCGCGTTCCAGACGATGAAAGATGTCAAAGACTTGCAGACTACATGACCAGCAAGTGGATCGAGTGCGATCTCCACATCAACCAGTGGAACCACTTCAACAATGATGGGCCAGGTACAAACAACTACCTGGAGGGATGGCACAGTCGACTGAAGATCACGTGAAAGGCACATCCCAACATTTTCGAGATGATTACCTTCCTTTCCAAAGAGCAGAAGTCCTCGGAAATTCAGAGCGCAGTACGAAGCAGTTCAGAAGAGACCTCCCAAGAAGAAGAAATACTCAGAAGTCGACCGCAAGATCGCCAATTTGAAGATGAGGCTGGAGAGGCAAGAAATCGACATCGTCCACTGTGCCGATGTTGCATCAGCCATTCTAATCAAGTTAAAAAAATGTAATAATTCATGTAAATCATGTTCTGTTCGTTGTACCAAATTGAAATTTGTCATGTCGCTGCTTTTGATACTATATAATGTGTGGAATAAACGACACAAAATGCATCATAAATCTGTTGTTTCTACTGTTAGAATGTGTCGTGAACACCATCCAAAAACACCATTCATTGCTTGCTTGTAACAACCTCGTGTGTTAACATAACACGCACACATCAAAGAAAAACCGCGTAACGCGAATAATCTTTTCTGAAAGTCGGCGTAACGCGAATGAACCGTCCAAATGGCGAAGAGGTACTCGGGTTCACAATAACCTGCGCAACAAACGGGGTAATATTATAAGAATCGATGAATGAAAGAAGTTTTCATAATGAATTTTATACGCACCATCATGCGCCAAGTAGTACAGACAACGCACGGACAAAACACCGCAAGGTTTTTGTAGCCACACAGGACCAGTTTATTCTACCAGTTGGGTTCATGGTCACCAGTTGGGTTCATTGTCACCAGTTGGGTTCATTGTCACCAGTTGGGTTCATTGTCACCAGTTGGGGGTTTTCCCCGACCTGATAAATCCAGTTCCTTCAGCCATTTGCTAAGATTTTTAACATATGGCTAGAAATTAAGATGGTCTTTAAAACTTATTCCCAAGAATTTGGCTTCCTTTTTTTAATGTGAGTGCCCGATGGATGTAATTCTTGGTCACTATGTGGTTTATATTTTGGAAATGAAATTCAATGCATTCAATTAAGAATTGATCTTCACTTTGTGCGAGTTCATTGGAGTATGAACCTTCATAGAGTGTAGGGCCAAACTGTATGAACGTCCGAGCTTGCGACTCTATGAGCAGGCATTGTTTGCTGAAGACCTAATTCTAATTCTCTTCACGGGCCGGATATTTTGTCTGCTGGCGTACGCGTGTTCTAGTCTTGGTAACTTATTCATTTTAAATTTAATTTAAGTAAGTTCAGTTATCAGTCAGACAAACTGATGTAAATCATGTTTTTCAACCAATCGGATTAAAGAACACAATCTTATTTTTAGTATTCCAGCCTTGAGTTTCACACAATGTACCAATGTGGGGAATCAAACTCCCAGAACGAACGGACACTTTAACCACTAGGCCACCTCTTCTCCCCAGAAGATGAAATGATTTAACAGAATCGTATAAACATTTAAAGTTTTATTTAAAAAATCCAAAAAAGAATAAATGTTCAACATGGTATTGTTTTTCTAAAGGTATGCACTTGGATTGTGAGTTTTACAAAACCAGTTATGACTCATAGGATAAAAGCAATTATTGGGTGCCATAAGAATGATTTCAATCATGAATCTATAACTCGGGGGGCACGGATGCGCCGCGATTCGCTGTGCAGAGTTGCGTCCCTTGGACACTGAATCTATAACTCAATATTTGACATTGATAACATAACTGAAAGTAGGTCATGTTCAGGTATTAGACACAAGTAACTCAATAACATTTTGTAATTTAGCTGAAAGGCACCAATAACATTCTCTGAATATTTCTTTTTATTATTCAAAGCATTTTAAATATCATTGGACAGTAATACAAATCAGACATGTATTTGAGTAAACGTTTCATGGTTTATATGAACCTCTGTCCATGAAACAAGGACAGTTGCGAAAACTGACATGGTAGGCAACTCCTATGACCTTGCAACAAATAAAAATCAAACCCGAAAGCGGACATAAAATCCACGTTATTTGAATGGCGCTGTTCTCCATGCACAAGCATACTCTAAGCTTAGACATTGAAAAGTGTTCACCCAAAAATCATTCTCAGCTCAATGGAGAGTATACAAACAAAGCTGCCTGTTAGGCGCTAGAAGGTTAACAACCACATTGCCATCTCATCCTACCGGGTACCCGCTCACTGCTGGGTGGAAAAAAGGGACAATTCGAACAAAGTCACTTGCCCAAGGAGACGCGACATCTGTTACACGTACTTCAGACTGTAATAGTAGTACTAAAGTTGGCTATTATTTACTCTTTATTCCATCCGTCCTTGTCCTCAGCTGTAATACTTGCACAATTCTTGACCAGAAGTGCGGCTACAGATTCATTCCCATTCAAACAAGCTAGATCTAGTGCCGTCCATCCGTCCTCGTCCTCAGCTGTAACACTAGCGCCACTCTTGATCAGTAGTGCGGCTACAGATTCATGTCCATTCTGACAAGCTCGATGTAATGCCGTCCATCCGTCTTTGTGTTCAGCTGTAACACTTGCACCATTCTTGATCAGAAGTGCGGCTACAGATTCATGTCCGTCCTGACAAGCTCGATGTAGTGCCGTCCATCCGTCCTTGTCTTCAGCTGTAACACTTGCACCACTATTGACCAGAAGTGCGGCTACAGATTCATGTCCATTCTGACAAGCTACATATAGTGCCGTCCATCCGTCCTTGTCCTCAGCTGTAACACTTGCACCATTCTTGATCAGAAGTGCGGCTACAGATTCATGTCCATTCTGACAAGCTAGATGTAGTGCCGTCGATCCGTCCTTCTCCTCAGCTGTAACACTTGCACCATTCTTGATCAGAAGTGCGGCTACAGATTCATGTCCATTCTGACAAGCTTGATGTAATGCCGTTCGTCCGTCTTTGTGTTCAGCTGTAACACTTGCACCACTCTTGATCAGAAGTGCGGCTACAGATTCATGTCCATTCTGACAAGCTACATGTAGTGTCGTCCATCCGTCCTTCTCCTCAGCTGTAACACTTGCACCATTCTTGATCAGAAGTGCGGCTACAGATTCATGTCCATTCTGACAAGCTACATGTAGTGTCGTCCATCCGTCCTTGTCCTCAGCTGTAACACTTGCACCATTCTTGATCAGAAGTGCGGCTACAGATTCATGTCCATTCTGGCAAGCTAGATGTAGTGCCGTCGATCCGTTCTTCTCCTCAGCTGTAACACTTGCACCATTCTTGATCAGAAGTGCGGCTACAGATTCATGTCCATTATGACAAGCTACATATAGTGCCGTCCATCCGTCCTTGTCCTCAGCTGTAACACTTGCACCACTATTGACCAGAAGTGCGGCTACAGATTCATGTCCATTCTGACAAGCTACATATAGTGCCGTCCATCCGTCCTTGTCCTCAGCTGTAACACTTGCACCATTCTTGATCAGAAGTGCGGCTACAGATTCATGTCCATTCTGACAAGCTAGATGTAGTGCCGTCGATCCGTCCTTCTCCTCAGCTGTAACACTTGCACCATTCTTGATCAGAAGTGCGGCTACAGATTCATCTCCATTCTGACAAGCTAGATGTAGTGCCGTCCATCCGTCCTTCTCCTCAGCTGTAACACTTGCACCATTCTTGATCAGAAGTGCGGCTACAGATTCATGTCCATTCTGACAAGCTACATGTAGTGCCGTCCATCGGTCCTTCTCCTCAGCTGTAACACTTGCACCATTCTTGATCAGAAGTGCGGCTACAGATTCATGTCCATTCTGGCAAGCTAGATGTAGTGCCGTCAATCCGTTCTTCTCCTCAGCTGTAACACTTGCACCATTCTTGATCATAAGTGCGGCTACAGATTCATGTCCGTCCTGACAAGCAACATGTAGTGCCGTCCATCCGTCCTTTTCCTTAGCTGTAACTCTTGCACCACTCTTGATCAGAAGTGCGGCTACAGATTCATGTCCATTCTCACAAGCTTCATGCAGTGCCGTCCATCCGTCCTCGTCCTCAACTGTAACACTTGCACCATTCTTGATCAGAAGTGCGGCTACAGATTCATGTCCATTCTGACAAGCTACATATAGTGCCGTCCATCCGTCCTCGTCCTCAACTGTAACACTTGCACCATTCTTGATCAGAAGTGCGGCTACAGATTCATGCCCATCCTGACAAGCTTGATGTAGTGCCGTCTGTCCGTTCTTATTAACAGCTGTAACACTAGCGCCACTCTTGATCAGAAGTGCGGCTACAGATTCATGTCCATTCTGACAAGCTACATATAGTGCCGTCCATCCGCCCTCGTCCTCAGCTGTAACACTTGCACCATTCTTGATCAGAAGTGCGGCTACAGATTCATGTCCATTCTGACAAGCTACATATAGTGCCGTCCATCCGTCCTTGTCCTCAGCTGTAACACTTGCACCATTCTTGATCAGAAGTGCGGCTACAGATTCATGTCCATTCTGACAAGCTACATATAGTGCCGTCCATCCGCCCTCGTCCTCAGCTGTAACACTTGCACCATTCTTGATCAGAAGTGCGGCTACAGATTCATGTCCGTTAATAGAAGCAAGAAAAAGAGCTGTTGTTCCATTTTCACTTTTGTCGTCAACATTTGCCTCGCTATTGATCAAAATGTGCGCTACATTCTCATGTCCATTTAAACAAGCAATGTGGAGTGGATATGCTCCTGCTAGATACGTATACTCCGTTCCTAAGACAGGATTGTACAATGTAAGTTGAGCTCTATTTTGTACGTCGCCCGTCCTCCTGGAAACCAGATCAGAGACAGCTTCAACGTGACCGTTTTCACAGGCACAGTGCAAAGGCGTCCATCCTCGGTCATCGGTACCTGCTACATCCTCCCCCTGGTCTATCAACAAGTGCATGCGTCTTATATCACCGAGGCTGGCTGCTTTATGCAAACTGTATCTCGTATCATCTATGCTGGTCGACATATTGACTATTGTATACGCAAACGCTCTGGCATTCGTTGACGCTGGATTATTTGTCAGCTTTTCACATGGAGACTCAAGCACTGCAAGAAGGACAACGATATTTCAAATACAGAACCAAACAGGTTAATTCATCATTTAGCAATATATTTGAAATAAACACACTTTTAATCATTATATATTTTAACGCTTACAATGTTTACTACTTGAATCGACATTAAAGAGATTTTGGCTTTTGTACATGCTGTTTTCTTTGTAAATCTATGTATCAACCACAATAAACACCATGTGCCAACATATAAAATTCACATATATTTGATGATCCTCTATGACCGTTCATGAGCATGTGTTTTTTAATCCCTATCAAATATCAGGTGTCCACGAAAAGGCGAACATATCCTGTCCTGCTGGTGATACACATCACAAACACATGCAAAGGCAAGTCAATTGGTAATTTGCGAAACATGGTAACATATGGTACAAGTGAAAACACGGAATTTAGGAACATATTTTAATAGTTGTCTTCCTTTATCATAACCGACATACAACCCCTCTACATTGTTATATTTCGTCAAATCGGGATTTGTTGAATATCCTGTGATAGCAATATTAATATTAAGTTTTTGCCCATTGCGAATATAGAGGTCCGGACACTTTCCAGTATGCCAGGCTTCACTCGTACTTGAATAACAAGAAATATTACAAACATTTCAATACAACCTGTAACATGTACGATGTACTTGCTTTAATATTTCACTTCAACATTGGAAATAATACCAGTCGTTACTTCATCATTAAAAACATGTGAATAATAAGTGAGTGAGTGAATGACAATATTCTCTCAGCAATGTATCAGCAACGATGGTTGACTGATATCTGAGACTCTGATAGAAGGAATTGCGCAAAAGTAATCAAAACAAGCAGAGGTCTGTGACCTTTGGAAAATGGACAAATTTTAGGAATGTGCAGTCAAGTGGAATTGCAGAAAAAAAGGATTTATATAACAAAGCCAAAAGCCATCCATGAAGATATGAATACAGCACTAGGGAAGTATGTCCCACTGTCAACATAACGAGTTAGGCAGCAGAGTTTGAGTGTAACAGGGAGTGCCTTGAAGACGACCCCCGTCCTGGAAGGCCTGTGAAGTCAGCAACACCAGAACTGATACAGAAAACCCACGTTGTGGTGATGACCGACCGGCGAATGACCGAGCGTAATACAGCTAATTCAGGAGCAGTGGATTCGCTACTGGTTTTAGTTTTTCGAATAGCTGGAAACAAGCCAGCAGCGGGTGTCAATCTAATAACTCACGTTAATGTCTCTAAGCATTCTAATGCAATTTGTCTAATATATAGTTATTCAGTAGTATTGAACTACTTAAAAACCTAACCATCAACATGCTTGATATTCAGTTCCGCACAACACATGTAACAAATATTAGCTTCCCATGTTTGACTGTAAAAGGCGACTATGCTTGTAACGGGATCGGGTGGTCAGGCTCGCTGACTTGGTTAAGCATAACAGCGTATCCCGATTGCGTGAATCGATGATCATGATATCAATCACTGGATTGTCTGGTCCAGACTCGATTATTTACAGTCCGCAGTCATATAGCTGGAATATTGCTGAGTGGGGCGTTAAACAAACATATAAACTGAACCGCTTTATGAATTGTCCCTAACTTGCGTCTTACAGTACATAAACGTGGTACGACAATGCTAGATTTAGCGGGAAACGAATAATAACAAAGTTTTCTGACATAAGAAGTACGCCCAGTGGTACGTGGGTTTGGACATTCTAGTTTTGTTGTGGGATATATATTGCTATTGGCAGGATATGTTCACCTTGTCGTGAACACACTATTTGGTAGTGATTCATAAACACATGCCAATGACATGGTCGACTCTGATTGTGTACCATGAATATGGAATGTTTTTTGTCTTTTGTATGTATTTAGGTTTTGAGGTATATTTGGAAAACAATACTTATACTCACTATGTGTGTCAGTATCAGGCGGAATATGTTCACCAGCATATTCTCGCAACCTGCGCCAGATGTACTTCCTGTACCAGACAGTGTGGCAGCTTCTCATGACACTGGGAGGCACCTCCGACAGTACAGCTTCTGCTGCCTGTAACAATATAGAGCCACTGGTGACGAATAATTGACAAAAAAATAAAGCACTGTTCTTCAGTGTTTGACCCCTAAGGTGTCTATAGTGGCAGTATACGGTGTCATATTAGGTAAAGAGAAAAACATTGGGCAAGGCGTGTTTCCGATACAACGCTCTAATGTAAACACAAACGTTAACAATGGAATAAATAAAGCACTAAACGTTAACGTTTAAACAAGATAGAATTATAAGAAAACTGACCTATGTTAACAGGAGTCTGGTGTCAACTGTAACTTGATAGCAGTCCGCTTATCCCTAACAATGGACTTCTATCTGGTCTACTGCTATGTGACGTTATTGGCGTTGCGTTTCTTGTTCGTGACGTCATCTTTTATGTTCAATGACCTCTGTTGTGAGCCTTTTTCCTCTATTAATTTTAGTAATGAAGTCACGAACGTAGTTGTTTTAAAAATTGATGTCTTTGCACATCACAATTAATTTCATTAATACACAAAACCGTGTCAAATAACGGATTTCTGTACCAGAATATTCTTGTGAAATATGTGAAGTTGGTGTATGAAAATCCTAAATGGCTGTTACTGACGGTATACGGTCTCATATCAGGTCAGTGGGGTGGGGTAGCCCAGTGGTCAAAGCTTTCACTCATCACGCCGAAGATCCGGGTTCAATTCCCGGGTACAATGTTTGAAGCCCATTTCTAGGGTCCCCTACCGCGCTATTGCTGGAACATTGCTAAAGGTGGCGTGAAACCAAGCTCGCTTGCTCACTCACTCACTCACTCAGAGCCTTTTTCCAACAGCATGATCCCGTTGAATGTCGATTTAGAGTGCCAGAATACATTGTACACATTGAAATATATTATATTTAAAAATAAAAGTCCACATTGTCTTCTTGCTTTTGTTTTTAATACAAACGTACTGTATAAAAAAACTTGTTAGAACTATGGAAATTTAAGTAAACACATATCGTAGAAACGGATCAGTATATTAATACTGATATGGTATGTTAAGATACTACTAGAAATATTCAGTTTTGATAATGACACATTTGAATGGCAAGTACCCAAGAGCATGCTCATGCGATTGACATTTGTAATATAGTTCCCATGCTGGGTGGAATTGCAGAAGATTTAGTGAAAAAAGTGGAAATGTTGAGAAATTTAAACTGTATAATAAATTATAGCAATTCATCATGTTTAGCTGTATATGCTCTTATCATTGATATTATTCAATAATGAAAGATTTATATATCTTATCTAGCTCACGTACCATATTCACAAACACGCCACAGCTATGTCCATCACTTTGACTCAGTACTGGATATTCTGTCTTTGTCCATGTGATCACTGACCCATCACCTCTCCTCAAACAGCGTGTATATTTTCTGAAATAGATATAGGATATAGTTTACGACCTCTATTTGTTTCCCCTGACTCAAACCCACCTACAACCTAGCGCTATACATTTAGGACTGATTAACTATACATGTTTGTAGCTGAGCCAGATTGCAGCTTTTGTTTCAAAATCGGTAGCAGACATTCATCAGTGTGTACCTCAGCTCTGGTCAGCGCAGTAGTCTTCATCAATTGTAGGCTGTGAGTTGACCACATCACCTGTTCGGCCCACCTACTTACAGTGTTGTTCATAGAGAATCTCACTAGAGTGTCTTTTAGAGTAAAAAATATCAACGAGTGTTGATATATTTGACATCAAAAGACACAAGGGTGAGCTTTAATTTATCATCCAACATCATTCTGCCAGCTGTTTCAGTTTGTAGCAGTAATACGCAGTGTCTTTAGTGTAAAAAGTATTGCTAACAGCTTCAGTAGCAGTCATTAGTGATGTCATTTGTGACGTCGTGGTAACCAATGACGTCACTATGGTCTGCAAAACAGTGTGATGCAATTATGTTGCAGCAATATCTAAACTATATATATCACTTGATCTCACCCAAGCGATATCAGTTTTGGATGATAAAGGTTTATCTCTACATATAGCTGACCACGCCCTCAAATTACCTCCAATGTTGTATAAGTTTGTCCCCTACATCAAGGACAGGCTTAGAGTTGACCATGCCCACTGTTCCATCCTGGGCATTGGCGACCAGAAGCACCCAGTGTTGATTCAGTGGCATGTTCACTGGCATCAGGATCCACGTGTAAGTTCCAAGTTCCTCCTAATATAAAATAAATCCGCAAAATCATTGCCATAATTAAAACAAACACCTTGAATGATACCGACTATATCACGAGCATGTGCTAATAAATCACTGGCAAATAGTGACAATACCAGTTCGCAAAAGGTGACCGTATTCTGTCCACCGGTGGCACCTGTCACAAACACATGCAAAGACAAGTCAACCGGTCGCCCGAGAAACAGAGACATAATTATTGTACAAAAGTCAAAACATGGAATTGCATCGTGTTTGTCACTGATACAAACCAAACATTTTAATGCTTTTCAGACTAACGCCTGGTTTCCAAAAAAGGAAAGAAGCACATACATTTATATTAAAAAAGGAGCTCCACTGAGATGGGGGACAAGCTAGAATGAGGAAAGGGTTATGTCGCTTTTATTTACAGTAAAGGTTTTGGTGAAAAGGAAAATAATATGGTCTTGAATGTTTTACCCTGATCAAGCAAGGTTCATTTGATGCTCTTTAACCACATAGACGTATGTCTATCTACAGATTACTGTATTATAATTTACAATAAGTTCTTTTCCATTTGATCAAGTTTACTGATATTAGCATATCCATATGATTACTTCCCTCTGATTTGGATACATGCGTATGATACTTATGTTGAAATGGCTATGATATTGAACATTTCAAACTCAATAACTAAAGTGGTTAATGTCTGAAACCTGCATCACTTCTTGCTTTCCTCCCACATTAATCTGACACACTGTGAAATAATTGGAACACTGTTGAAAGCGGCCATTAAACCTCGTTATAACCGTAGTTTACTGCACATAGCATGTTGACATATGTCCAGTGATGATATTCTTGGAAAAGGAAAACTGCTGCTCTAGATCTTCAATGAACTGTCTCCAAAACCGACCTCATATCTCTTAGAGCCTAAAGTAGATGCTAAACAAGGATCCATAACCGAATCGAAGATCTTCAAAAGTCTCTTTGGCACTCGTGAAGAGCAACCTCCTCGTGGTGAGTGCTGGGTAACGCTAATCGCTCTTCCCCCGTGTGGAACCGGGGCAGAATATTTCCACAGCACCCCATTGCTGGTCGTAAGAGGCGACCAAAGTGGGCAGCCCGTTTGCCGTGGGTTGCGTCCCTGTGTCGGCGGAGGACGGGAGACTGGTAGTTGAGGGCACTGGTTCCTGGAACTGTGTTCCTTTGCCCAACACACTACTTCGACCCTTACTTCGCCTAGACGGGTGGTAAGATGGGCCCGGTCTTATCAATCGGCTGGTCATGCCAGGCCCTGTGCGTAATATTGTAAATGCACACATGTGTTGTATTTTGATGTATATTTTGGCCTTGGCCATGCATAATTTGTGTGAATTAACTATTTTGGATTATATAAATTGCCTAGAGTCTTACGCCAGAAGGCGGTGGCTCATGGGCCAATCTGGTGATGTTGACCTCCAAATTCAATATGTATCCAATTACTTGTCATGGGCCGAACCAGCCTGGCATTTAATTTGGTATACAAATATTGCTATTTGCGTCATACTTGCTGGAGTATATCATCCCTGTATCCCTGGTGTTTGCATGTTGGAGTTCCGGTGCAACAAAACATCGCTCTTTGTAGCACTCCTTGGTGGGTGGGGAGCAGGGGTGCTGAATTACTATATTTCACCATGTCACACCAAAACCCTGGTTCAACCCGTTCCAAACGAAGACATGTCGATCTTGATGACATTGATCAAAGTGAACAATTATCTCGTGGCTTAGATTCCTGGTCCCGTTTTATTGTGATTGAGGCAGCTAACAAACAACCTATTAAGCTAAATCCATTCGCCATTTCCAAAGCTGTTTTAGGAATTTGCGGAGAAGTGAACAATGTTACACGTCTTCGCAGTGGCTCTCTTCTCGTTGAGTGTACACGGAGACAGCAATCTCTGAATCTTTTGTCTGTAACTACATTCGCAAATATTGAGGTTGCTGTGTCCGTCCACAAAACCTTGAATTCTTGCCGAGGCATTGTTCGAGACAGAGCTCGCTGCCTGTCCGACATGTCAGAGCAGGAAATTACTGATGAACTGACAACTCAAGGGGTAACAGCAGTTAAGCGTTTTACTATGAAATCGAGAGATGGTGACATCATCCCGTCAAACACTTATCTGCTTACATTTGCTCTTTCGGCCCTTCCTAAGTCAATCAAAGCTGGTTATCTCAACATCGGAGTGGAGGTGTATGTCCCCAATCCACTCCGTTGTTTCAAGTGCCAAAAGTTTGGACATGGTTCTAAATTTTGCAATCACTCTGTAGTCTGTCAGCGCTGTGGCGAAGGCCATGACAACACTGACTGCACGGCTGAAGTGAAATGTGCCAACTGCAAAGGAACACATCTGGCTTCATCAAAGTTATGTCCTGAATGGCAAAAACAGACAAAAATCCTGAAGCTCAAACATGAGAACAATATCTCGTTTTACGAGGCTAAGAAGCTCATTGAAAATCAATCTCCACAAACTCCACTAACCAGAACATATTCTGCTGCTGTAGCTATCGCTACTCCTGCAAATCCTACAAAAACATCCATTTCTATCCAGACAGATTTGACATGGATTACATCCGATCAACCTGTTAACATATCTTCTGTAGTAACTTCACATACATCTTCCACTCAAACAGTAGGCCCATCCGAACCTTTGACTGCTGAAGCTGGTGTGGAGTCTGTTGCTAAAGATCCAGAGGCTGTAGAACCAGCTACTATCGAATCTGCCGTTGTTACTCTGACAAGAAAAGAAAGAAAAAATAAAAAGAGAAAGAAAAAAATTAAACAGAAAACAAACTCCTTTGAAATCCTCGTCTTCAGAGGTTTTTCTCAACAACCCCTTTGATGCTCTTGACATGGATGTCACCCCATCTCCAGAGACCAGAAGGGGTTCTTCTTCCTCACATTCTCGTGAGCGTTCACCAATTGAGCCACCGTGACTCAATCATCACATTTAATACAGTGGAACTGTAGAGGACTTAGGAATAATTATAACGATTTACAACTCTTAATTCAAGATTTTAAACCATCAGCGTTATGTTTACAAGAAACATACTACAAAGAAACCGACACATTTGATATACGAGGTTATTCCTCCTACAATGTATTTTCACCTCCTGGTGCTAAGGCCACTGGGGGCTCTTCAATCTTCATAAAACAAGGTGTTATCCATAGCCCCGTCCATCTTGCAACCCCCCTTCAAGCTGTTGCAGTCCGTGTGACTCTGCACATTGTGTTTACATTGTGCTCACTCTATATTCCACCATCTTCTTCTCTCCGACAGTCTGAACTTCAAGCTCTCTATGATCAACTCCCAAAGCCCTGTATTATCATGGGCGATTTAAATGGACACAATCCACTTTGGGGTAGTGTTCAGACTAATAACAAGGGAAAACTTTTGGAAGATTTCATTTCCAGCAACGATTTGTGTATCCATAATGATGGTTCAAATACGTATCTGCATCCCGGTACAGGTACCTACTCTGCTCTCGATTTGTCAGTAACAGATTCTGAATTATTAAACGAATTTGAATGGTCCGTACATGAAGACCTCTGTGGAAGTGATCATTTCCCAACCATTTTAAAACCCGTCTTACCTTCCGATGTTCCTCCTTCAACAAGATGGAACTTTTCTAAGGCTAACTGGCCTTTATTCGAAATACTTGCATCCAAAAAGTTACAACCTGATCTGTTTCTTGATGCTACTGACCCTGTACAATTATTTTCTGATGAATTAAACAAAATCGCTGATGACTGTATTCCTAAGTCCTCTACAAATCCTCACATTCGTAAACCATGGTTTAACGATGACTGCAAACAAGCTAGGAAGGCACGGAAAAAGGCTGAACACTACTTCCGTCGCCATCCAATGGTACATAATTTGAATAAATTTAAAATTTTAAATGCTAAAGCCAGACGTACGTTTAAACAAAATAAACGCCAATCTTGGCAAAATTATGTTTCCAAGATAAATTCTCGTACGCCCATGTCTAAGGTATGGAACATGATCCAGAAAATTAAAGGTAAAGGTTCTAAATCTAGCATACATCACCTTAAAAATGGAGACGAACTATTGACTGATAAATCGGAAATTGCAAATAAACTTGGTGAAACATTAGCAAAACATTCTTCTTCCTCTAACTATGTGCCTAAATTCCAAAACTACCAAAAACTGCAAGAAACGAAAATCATAAATTTTAAATCAGATAATGGGGAAGATTATAACGAAATATTTTCAATCCATGAGCTTCATACTGCTCTTGGACAAGCACACGATACTGCTACAGGAGCTGATAATATACATAATCAACTCCTGAAACATTTACCAGACTCATGTTTAGAAACCCTTCTACTAATTTTTGATGAAATCTGGACATCAGGTGAATTTCCATCCTCATGGCGAGATGCTATAATTGTTCCAATACCTAAGCCAGGACGTGATCATACTGATCCTTCAAATTATCGTCCAATTTCATTGATCAGCTGCGTTTGCAAAACCATGGAACGCATGATCAATAATCGCCTAGTTTGGTACTTAGAAACCAATAACCTAATTACAAATATTCAATGTGGTTTCCGTAAAAATAGAAGTACAATTGATCATTTAGTACGTTTAGAATCATTTGTTAAAAATGCCATCATAAACAAACAACATGCAGTGTCTATCTTTTTCGATCTCGAAAAAGCATATGACACTACATGGAAACATGGTATTTTAAAGGACTTACACGATTTTGGATTGAGAGGCCGTTTGCCTCAATTTATATCCAAATTTTTAACTGACAGACAATTTCAAGTCCGCGTGGGCTCAACCCTGTCTGATCATTATAATCAGGATCAGGGTGTCCCACAAGGCAGTATCTTGTCTGTTACACTATTTAGTATTAAGATAAATAGCCTGTCTAAGGTCTTAAATGATTCCATAGATGGGTCGCTTTTCGTGGATGATTTTAACATATCTTGTTGTGGTAAAAATATGCATTCAATTGAAAGACAATTGCAGTTATGTCTTAATAAAATTCAAAGATGGTCACTTGAAAATGGCTTTAAATTTTCTAAAGCCAAGACAAATTGTATACATTTTAGTCGCAAATATAAACCACATCCAGACCCTGTACTGTATTTGGATGGCACACCTATCAAAATTGTAAAGGAAGCCAAATTCCTGGGACTTATTTTTGATAGCCATTTGACATTTAAACCCCATATCAAATACCTTAAAGCTAAATGCCTGAAGGCACTCAATGTGTTAAAAGTCGTTTCCAATTCAAAGTGGGGAGGTGATCAGAAGACCCTCCTCCAACTATATAGATCTCTCATACGTTCTAAACTGGATTATGGCTCCATCGTTTATGGGGGTGCTTGCAAAAGCAATCTAAAAATTCTGGATTCTATACATCACCAAGGACTACGGCTCTGCCTTGGCTCCTTCAGAACTTCTCCAATTAACAGTCTATATGTAGAGGCTGATGAACCATCACTAAAACTCAGACGTCTAAAATTATCTTTACAGTATATTACCAAATTATCTTCAAATCAGTCAAACCCTGCATATGATTGCGTTTTTCACCCCCTATATGAAGACCTCTACCCAAAGAAATCTTCTCTTATTCCCCCTCTTGGAATAAGGTTGAAAACTGCAATTTCTGATGCAAATTTACACCTTGAAAATATTTCTACTTACCGCCTTTTGTCTTCACCTCCTTGGCAACTTATAAAGCCCGTAGTAGACCTGACACTCACACAACTAAAGAAATCACAAACTAATCCCCTAATTTATCAACAAGAATACCATCAACTGAGAACTAAATATGATACATACAAATCTATTTTTACAGATGGATCCAAGGATGGTGACGCAGTTGCTAGCGCTACTGTCATTGGAACCAGAACAATATCGTCCAGGTTGCCACATGACAGTTCAATTTTCACGGCAGAAGCACACGCCATCTTAACAGCTCTTAAATACATTCAAAATCAATCTAAGCATAAGAAGTTCATAATATTTTCAGACTCTCTTTCATGTCTTCAGGCTATTCACAATATGTCCAGCACACATCCACTTTTGCTCGAAATTGTCGAATTATACAATGATCTAGCTACTGGCCAATACGACATCGTTTTCTGTTGGTTACCCAGCCATGTAGGAATCGTAGGTAACACAATGGCTGATGCTGCTGCAAAAGCAGCACTCAACAAATCTGTGACACCACTTCTTCTACCCTACAGTGATTATAAACCTGTTGTTAGATGTTATATCAGAGATCTAATGCAGAAGAAGTGGGACACCCAAGTGGGTATAAATAAATTACATGAAATTAAACCAAATATCGGTTACACCTACTTGGGCTGTCAGTCCAGGTTTGAAGAGGTCATTATGCGACGATGTCGTATTGGCCATTCAAGATATACAAATGAATATCTTTTAAAAGGTGAGGATCCTCCATTTTGTATCCCTTGTGATGTGAGAATCACCGTCAAGCATGTCCTGCTTGATTGTGTTGATTTTTCCATCACAAGGGATAAATATTTCAAAGTTTCATCCTTAAAGGATCTTTTTAGTATCAATGCTCGTTTAATTCTTGCTTTTTTAAAAGAAATTGAATTGTTACATAAATTTTGATTGATATGTTTTGTATATAATATAGTTTTTATAATTGGTAAAATAAAGTTGATGACTGAGATTGTTAGTGGCTGTATCCTTGAAGGGGGTTGAAGTAACGTAAAATTATTGTCCCCCAGAGAGGATATGTAAGACCACATCATTCAAAGTACATTTATTCTTGCCACAGTTTTAGACGTAGAATATTTGTTTATTTTAAGTGTTGGCTAAATTGCATATAATCACCAGCGGCTGAAGGGATGGTGTAAATCCTGCTGGGGAGTCGTGCAGGTAGCAAAAGTATTGTAAGTCCCCACAGTCCCCAGTACGGTGGCCTAACTTTGGTTGCTGGTGATCTATAGCCCATTTTTATATTGTATTGTTGATTGAAAATGTATTCTTTTTAAAGCTCTCAACTAGTTTTAAAATCACAACTGTGATACTCTAGTTATTTTTACTGTCCTTCGATGACAGGTATTTACTCCATTCAAATTTTTGTATTTTATGTCAGTTCTCGTCACGATATGGCTGAAATACTGCCGATGTGACGTTAAATATTAACTCACTCACTCACTCAAAAGTCTCTTTAATTTCCATCTTTGGACGAAAACCTAATACCAGTACTTTACTCATCACTTTATACAATGTACATGACTATGCTCGTCCAACCTTGCAGGGGTGCACGTCATACTCGTCTTTCTCCCAATGGTTGACAAGGAAAGAATCAAGTACAGCGCAGTGGCGACTGTGGATCCTATTCCACGTGGTCTTCAGGACATGCATGTATGCATTCATCACCTGCAATGGAGGTTAAAGTACAGTTATAACGAACACGCTTATAACGAACTGACGGATATAACGAACTTACTTTTTTGGTCCCGACTATTTGCTGTAGTTATGCTATATATATGCTTATAACGAACTACGGTTATAACGAACTAAAATTAGCAGTCCCTTTGAGTTCGTTATAACCTTAGTTTCCTGTATACAAAACCCCTTCGTCACGTGTTACAACCAGCAATTTAGAAAAACATTATTGCAACATATATCCTGTCTGAACTGCTCAAATAACGATTGAGCGAGTTAATGTTATTTGGCCTGTAAGCAATTTCAACTATTGGAACAAATGTTTTTTTTATCATCTATCAATATTGTACAATTTTCATTTTTAATAATGTTATTCCTGATATCATTATTTGACATGGCCTACCGACCACGACCGAGAAGGAAGATGGTCCTGGTCGATTTTGTACCTTTAATTTGTCCAAGTAATGTTAAACTTTTAGAAAGGATTTTCAGAATAAAATTATATAATACATAAAGAGCAAAATATAAGCTACGAAATCGTAAAAATTACCTCATCGCCAAGCCATGCTGTTTGATCGAGGAGATGATTCCTCTGTATGTTGTGGGGCCCCACCTTGCACATCTGAGGATCCGTCCCATCGTCGTCATCTGTTAAGGCGTTGTCACCCATCACATGTGATGGGTACATATAGAGGGTGTCAACAAACTCTGTGATGTCCGTCTTCATGTGATATGCACCTACTATGACAGCAGATACCAGTGTGTGATACGTATCCTTGCACTGGTCTTCGCCGAGAACATCCGGGCTAAGTCGTGACCACTTCAACCTGTCACTGACTTCTGTGAGGTCATTTCTCCATTTACAGTCGATGTCAGCGATTAATGATAAACATGGACTGTCAAAGGTAGGAAATCTGGTGCTTTTCTCCCAGTATTTTGCCTGCTTCAACACACGTCTTGCGATAACGATATGAGTACGTTTGTTCAGCAAACATTCGGTGAGTGACTTGAGGTTGGTCGGTCTTTCATCATGTTGATGACTAACACTTTCGGTGGTTATGATGTCTATCAAATTGTTTTCAATTACTTGTTCGTTTTCTGAACGTTTAGGAGTTTTCACACGATTTACCATATCAGGGTCATGTGTCCTTTTCCTTGAGCTAACTTCATCTAAGGAAGCCAGGAAGGTAGGAGAGTTAGTATTTGCACGATCATGATCACATTCCATATCCCTGGTCTCCCAATCTCCACCATCTTCATCTCCAGAACCAGCTATTCTCGCGTAACTGTTCACTATCTGGGATTCATGGTGGAGGGCTGTATTCAAACGCTTCTCATATTTTGGATCGGATAATGCTACTGTGCATTTCCCAATGTAGTGTACTAATATATATTTCACGTCTCCCTCGAGCAAGTTGTATGCCTGTCGTTTAAAAGCCTCGGTGGTGGTGCCATCACTTTTATAAGCCACGAAGTCCTGCTTGAGAACCTTGGGTGAAGGTTTAGGCTGTTCACGAGAACCATTGTGCTTGAAGTAGTAGTTGTCATTTTCCCAGGAATCTGTAGAGCAATAATAACTTAACTTAATGATTACAAGACGTCATTTCGGTCGGTTAGGTGTTAGTTTCGGTTATATATTTGGGATATATATTTGAGTTATATATTTGGGATCTGCTGCAATAAAAATAATTCATATAATATACATACAGATTCGATCATGTTTTCCCCCTAAAATTCGCGTTAGTTGATTCAATGTTTCCTGGTTTATAGTTGGTATCTGCTGCAATGAACATAATTTAATATAAACACAGAATCAAGCCTACATCCACGTCCACCATCAAACAGAATGATCAATAACGAACTATTATTAAGGACACAATGTGAAGGTTATAGACAGTGTCTACTAATGACGAATCTGGATGTAACGTTGTTCACGGCAAACAGTCTAAATCCAAATTTAAGAGGTTCTAAGTCGACACAAATTGTAAGTGAGTTTACATTTAAATTCAAGGTGGCTTTCTTCAGACCAAAGATGACAAGAACACGTTCTAATTTATGAATAAATTGAAACTTGTAAATATGAAACAATGTAACAAATATCACAAAATGTTAAATAATGTTGCCACAATATTATGTACAAGGGATTTATAGTGCATCTGCTACCTGATCAGTACCGCACATGCAATCAAACTTTCTTAGTGAATATTTGCATAGCTTTCGGCCCAATCAATACATTGACAATCAACTTCATCGTATGTTCTTTAAGTGCAATTCTTTAGTTGTTTTGTTTTTCTGCATCAAAAGTAGCGTTTGGAAAGAGAAACTGCCAATGCTTTTTAGCGTAAAATGTTTTCATTATCACTGCCTAGCTACGTGCATTGATCTGCAACCTGAATCAATACAAAGAGCTTGGTAGTGCGTTGCATGGCCTCAGATCGGGGTGCTATTTACGAGTTGCAGTCGGGAACGTTTTTTTCATTACAGGTAACACGAGTACGTATATTCCCTTGCAAGATCCGGCTCATTGCCACGAAGTGCGAGCGATGAGCTGTCATTCCATATATACGTGTTGACTGTGTCAATAGCGGGTTATATTTAAACCTTACGTGTGTGTAAATATAACTGATATCACGATCGCGATCACAGCATACTAGTATGTGAACGTTTAGTCAACTATATTTGTATTGTTCATAGGGATCAGTGGGTCTAGTAGGTCGCTATTCATCTCTACATTGTGAAGGCTAAAGCATGAGTAAAGTAACATTTGGTAAAGTGGAGTAGTGGCGTAAAGTGGCGTAGATCTTCATAGGTCATCGACGTTTACAAGCCTAGAATCACATAAAAGACAAATCTGAGATTCGAGCCCAGGACTATTTTAGAAACAATGACTACCCTCCTTCCAAATGCCACTCCGTCTTTTGTGTGTTTGTTTTTGTTCCAGTGATTGATATCATGAGCCTCGATACACGCAATTGGGATTGACGACATGCATCAACCAAGTCAGTGAGCCTGACCACCCGATCCCGTTAGTCGCCTCTTACTACAAGTATTGTCACCTTTTACGGCAAACAGGTGTTGCTGAAGACCTATAAATTCTTCCCCGGATCTTCACTGGTCTGTGGCTCCTTTGACTATTTGACACCTGCTACTTGCTCCCAATACCCACCCATACGACCCCATCACACCACATCCCACAACATGTCACATGACAATAAATAATACAAATAATCAAATTTAGTGTTTCATTAATACTGTCTTATTCCATTATTAATCCTCCCTTTATTAATACTCATCAGATTATGCATTTTTATTAATGTTAAAACTTCAAGACATGCACTCTTTAACCTACCTTCCGCCGAGTCTGCCTCCACCCTGTACAAGTACCCGTCTCCTCCATGGGGTTGAGCAGGGGGTGTTACTATAGCCCGTGTGTCATCAGGGTTCTCCAGTATCTCCAACACTTCAGTGAGCTTCAGTGCCTTGTTCTTCCCCGTGAAGTACGGAGCTATCACCTCTCTGTCCTCCCTATCCATAGCTCTGTCTACTCAATGTCTGCTGTATGACTATGTCCGCGCATCCTTTTGTACAACGCATAACGAAAGAGAACTAGGGCTGTAGTGACGTGGCACTTGATATACGACATGACGGTTGGCTGCCTGTAATACGGGCACACCCAATGAATACCACTGTGCTGTAACGCCCTGTTCGCAGTATACATTATACACATCCATGTCATTATCATATCCCAAAGCAGAACGTTTTGAATAAACAAGGAAACTTTGACGTCAGGCAACGGACTATAGCTTCAGATTCATGAACCCCTGTAATACAGATAGACATGTTTATGTAAAACGTTTAATTATTTTCATGGATTTAATGCCTATGATATCCCCGTATCATTGCCTTGTATCTGAAACTCCGAAATCCGAAGTCCGCTGTACGTTGTCCAAACGTGTGCAGCGACCAGAAGTGGGAAAAACACCAGAGATTTTTTTACGTGTCGCTTGTATTTAAGAAACAGTTAATAAGAGTACTACCATCTGCCCTACTTGTGTTGATTTAAACTGTCTCGCGATGTGCTCCAATGGCAGTGTTAATGCGTCGTCGTCGGACATAGTTGTTAAATGGAGCAATGTATGACATAGTAACGCGGTACAAACCCGGAATACAATTTACAGTTCGCTTATGAATACTTTCTTATTTTCATGGTTATGTGTAATTTATGAATAATTATTGACTATTGAAGTATGTCTTTGCATGTGGGTATTTGTATGAGCAGTTCAAATGAAGGAAATTAGTCACAGGCACTGTGGTAAAAAGGCAAAATAAAGTGCAACTCGTTTTGATTTTTATACAATAGGATATTTTCTAACCAAAACAAAATAGATTTATATGTTTACTTTTTTAACAATATCCTTTGACGACAGGTGATGTTTGCAAATATTGCAAAAAATGAAGCATAGGAAGATAAATATCACCAACAAATGTATTATGTGAAGAAATAATATATCATAGCCTTAAATGTGACAATCTAGTTATATCCAATATATTATAAAACGAGTTTATTATGCTTTATGATGGCGTGGACAATCATGAAATTGTCGTTGAAATATAAACATGTCAATGATATTACAGCTTACAGCTGCGTAACTGAAATGATTTTTGTTGTTGTTGATTAATTATGCAGGTCTTAAATTTCAACATTTCAGAACAGGATGATATGTGTGATAGTATTTAAGATGTTGTGTTATTAAGTAGCAATCTTGGCCTGTAACCTTAGACTCATATTAAGTACCCAAAGACAGATATTGGCGTGAGTAAAGCTTACTCTACAGCCGATCATTAAGATAAGCAACTGAACATGTAACTGAACTGATTGCAAATGTGACAGGAACCACACTAATGATTCATGTACGCAAACATAAAATCGCGTTGTAGACAATATAATGTAACACGATTACATTCAATATCTAACGCTTACTTATACCATCACTACACATGCAATTCACTCCCCTCATTTCAAATCCAAGATCATACACTTGTATCCGGGATCCGAAATCCGCTATTTCTCGTCCAAAGCGATATTCCCCGTCGTCGAAGGGGAATCCCCTTTCTAACCACTATAAGTACATGTAGTACCCTGGTGCACATTCTATTCCAGCTTTACAAGCGATGAACAGTTTCCATATCAGGAGTAGATGCAGTCATAGTGTTTACACTTAACATGGGAAATGTTCTTTGATGTTGGCCTGGATGTCGGTATCAGGTAGGTCTAAGACATTTTTAAATAACCATTGCTTCCTTTACCTGTTAATGTTTTGAGGTACAGTGTAATATTTACATAATCAAAGCTTTATTAGGTCAATTGCACTATAGCAAAATTTGAATTGGGTGTTGTGCTCGTGTGCATATTAGTAATAACTTCAGGCTTACCTCCCTCACCAAGTTGACACGTATTGATAAAGGCTTAATTTAAGTGCGTGAATTGTTTTAACACCACTTTGGACGGGACTGCCTAAAAGTCGGGCCAAGAAAAGTCGGGCCGGGTCGAGCCAGCGGGTAATACTAAAAATGGATTGCAGAATAATAAAACGAAACGTGCATATCTAGGCAAATCTCAAATGTCCAGAAACGGATAGTTTTGCTCATTTAATTGAGTTTGAATCAAAATGTATCTTCAGCAATGTAATGAACTGATAATTATAGCTACATACCGAGAGTTCATACCGAAAAGTCAGTGTTTTGACTGTGTCTTTACTTTGATGAGAAGGTTTCTCACCGACACTAACGTGCAGGGGTGTGATGTCCTGGGCAGGAATTCGAAATGACAGTGTTTTGACTACTCTTCTTTCATTAATTAACATGTTTGGCATACCTAATTAACCTTTACTAATTCATGTTAAACCAACACAGGATGTTTTCTGCAAGTGGATATTCGCGAATGTCATAGGACTGACACGACACGTGTTAATAACTGTCAAAGCGCTTCTAAAAATACAACACATACTTTACATCTATAGACTAATTATAATATCATATCTACCTATATAACACTGAAGTGTCTCATATTGCAGTAGAAAACACGGTGCTGAAAAGTGAAGCCTTTTTCCCTCTACATTCTCTCTATCAGAAGTGCGTTGCTTGTGTTGGGTCCGACTTGGCCCGGGATGTCAAAATCAACTTTAAAAACAGAGATGCATCTTCAAATGTGTTTACATCTATAGATTAGTGTTATATCTACCTATATTCCACTTTATAATGTCACGGTACATCGTATTTAAAGAAAACAAGGTGCTCAAAGTCAAGCATTTTCACTGTATTTTCTTAAGAAAATCTCTGTCAGAAGTGTTCGGTCCGACTTGGCCCGGGCTCTCAAAATCAACTTAAACCTCACAGATGTATCATCAAATGGATTCACATCTTTAGATTAGTATTATATCTACCTAAATACCACTTATAGTGTCTCAGATCGATGTACATAAAGAAAACAAGGGGCTCAAAGTGAAGCCCTTTTCCCTTTACATTCTCAACATAGTCTCTATCAGAAGTGTTTTACTTGTGTTGGGTCCGACTTGGCCCGGGCGGTCAAAATCAACTTTAAACACACAGATGTATCTTCAAATGTGTTTACATCTATAGATTAGTGTTATATCTACCTTTGTACCACTTTATAATGTCACAGTTTATCGCATTTAAAGAAAACCATGAGTTCAAAGTGAAGCCCTTTTTCCTCTACATTCTCAACATGACTAGTATTATATGTACCTATATAACACTTAATAATGTCGCACGATAACTCAAAGAAAACTGGTCTGTTAAAGTCGAGCACTTAGGTAGGTTATTGTGTTTTTAGATGCGTTTTATTAGTTCCGTTTTGATTGAGAATACGCCTGAGGCCTTGAAGTTTTCTAGTTTATTTTGTTGGTTAAGTATTGCTTCTAGAGTGAGAGCCTTGTTTAGATTGAGGGTGGTTTGTTATGTGGTTCGATGTGTTAGGTAGTGTGTGCAGTGGATGAGTGCGTGTTCTGGGGTTTCTAGTTGTTTGCAGTGTGGACAGTTACCTGTAGTGTGTTTTTTTTATATTTTTTAGGGGGTTATTTAGGTTGGCGTGTCCTGTTTGGAGTTTAGTGATTACTCTGTCGATTTTTTTTATGGATGGAGAATTTTTGGTTTGGTTAGTGGTTGGCTGAGCAAAGTTAATCGAATTACTTTCGTGACGTATTTTAGGCCTGCCATACAGTTCCTGAAACAAATATATACAATACAGCCGATGTAAGTCAATCATATTTGGCAAGACTAGATTACGGCAGTTATATAGTTTATCAATATAATCAAACAATTGTTTTATTTTTGTAAAATATATGTTCATTTCAGAAACTAGATGTTAGTCTAGCCAGCGGTCTAAACTCGCATTAATTTGGTTACACGTTTCATGATTTACAGTATTCGTGAAGAATATGTAAAAATTAGCCACAATTAGAGCGTTTGGTAGGAGTAGAGGGATTGGTAAGCATAGACTTGTTAAGTATTTTATGATATTCATGATAGCTCAAAAGAAAATTTGACTTATGTTTGTAGTACACCCCAAAAAGAGGGATAACACAAGTGATATATTGAGATGACATGACATACTTGCGTGTATAAACTACTATCAAACAGTCCGGACAACAGGTGTTTGCATAGAGGTGAGCGTATCCTGCACCACCGGTGGAACAAACACACGCAAAGGCAAGTTAGTTGTTAAACCCGAAAAACACGGAAACGATTAGCACAAGTCAAAACAGACAATTTCATCGGACATAACGCCATTTGCTACTTCTGTGGTAGTCACCAATCAACCCATTTATACTTCATAAAATAGCTTTAACCCTTATAAAGCTTTTGAGAAATTCAACAGTATGGGTTTGGTCTGACAAAGCAAGAAGCACAAATGGGGAATGTTTCGGCCAATGATTAGAGTATTCTTGCAAGTCTAAGGGTCCAACAGGAGGTATTTCTGCTACATGCTATTTCAAAACCCAAAGGTATTAATGAGATTGACCTGGATAGCCTTTTCGCATCTGATAATATTAACATTATCACTGAAGATCTGACTTGTAGACTTAAAGACATATTTGATAAATACATTCCAACTAAAACTGTCACAATACAAACAAAGGATCCTCTATGGATAAATAACGAGATACGCTCTCTTATTAGGAAACGTAATCGTATTCACAAAATTGCTAAAAACAGATACTGACCGTCAGATTGGGAAAAATTTAGGCTTTGCAGGAATAAAGTAATATCATCAGTCAGAATAGCCAAAAGAGCTCATGAACTAAAAATAGATAACATCATAAATACTTCATATGGTACTAAGATCTGGTGGCGACTAGTTAAAAAATATGTCAAAACGCACACCGAAAATTCGTCGTTTCCGTCAATAGTATCAAATAATGTTTTATATGATGATATTGAAGATATTACCAATGTCCTAAATGAATTTTTCACTGACCAAGCAAGAGTAAGAAATCCCGATTCTGACCTTGCATCTATTGGACCATATACAATCGACGATCCATTACTATCTGTGAATTTAAATCAAGAAGAAGTTCAAGATATTCTTCTTTCTGTAGATACAACTAAGGCAACAGGGCCAGATGGTATAGGTAACAAGTTACTTAAATTAACAGCGACTCGTCTAGCTCCGATCCTGACAAAATTATTTAACTTGTCGCTCAGTAACAAAACCTTCTCGTTAGTTTGGAAACAAGCATCAGTAACACCAATTCACAAAAAGGCGATGTACACGAATGCTCAAACTATAGACCTGTAGCACTTACATGTTGCTTAGCCAAAAAATTTGAAAAGTGTATACTCAAATATGTGTTTAACTTTTTCAGAGAAAACGAATTGTTGAAAAATTTACAGTCGGGATTCGTGCCTGGCGATTCCCCATCTTATCAACTGACTTTCCTATATAATCTTATTGCTAGGGCATTAGACGAAGGTAAAGAAATCAGAGCTGTTTTTTGTGATGTCAGCAAAGCCTTTGAAAAGTATGGCACAAAGGAATTATTCATAAACTCAATGCTTACGGTATCCAAGGTGATCGTTTGAAATGGTTTGAAAGCTACTTAGAACATAGAGTCCAAAAAGTAGTCATTAATGGTTATACCTCAGAATCAAAATTTGTACAAGCTGGGGTCCCCCAAGGGTCAGTCCTTGGACCACTCCTTTTTATTGTTTATATAAATGACATTGTCGAAGGTATCGAGAGTAATATACGCCTGTTCGCAGACGATACATCTATATATGTCATCATTATTGATCAAATCTCTGCAGCAAATTGTATCAACAATGATTTGGCAAAAATCTCAAACAAGGCCCAAAAATGGCAAGTAGGTTTCAATCCCGATAAGACCAAAACTATAACATTCAGTCGCAAAGTCAATTCTGGTTTTAGACCAAACTTATACATGGAGAGTACTGTTATTGAAGAAGTACAAAGTCATAAACATTTAGGAATTACACTTCAATTTGATTGTCCATGGAAAATACACATTAACGAAATTACTAGAAAAATCAGTCCAATGATCAACTGCCGAAGGAGCTTTAAATACAGGCTAACAAGAAATACGCTTGAAACTATGTACACATCTTTTATCCTACCAAACTTCGACTACTGCTGTCATATTTGGGACAACTGTACAAACGAACAATCATTTTTACTCGAGAATTTACATTTGGACGCATTGAGAACTATTTGTGGTGCGGTTCGGGGTACCAGTCATGTTAAAATTTATAACGAAACAAACTTTCAGTCCTTAAAAGAACGACGACACCGCTTCAAATTGATTACATTTTACAAAATGAAAAACAGTATTTCACCCGTATATCTCAACGATCTCATTCCAAGTCCAGTCTCTGAAAATAGCAATTATAACCTTAGAAATATATTTAACATACAAACAATCAAATGTAGAACCCAGACCTATGATAAATCATTTCTTCCGGATACGATTAATTTGTGGAACGCTCTACCCAATGAAGTTACTAATTCTTGCTCATTAAAAGAATTCAAATCCTTAATTAATCGTTCTGATACAATTATTAATAATTTTGACCTAAAATACGGTCATAGATCATGCCAAATTGTCCACTGTCTCCTTAGGCTCGGCTGCAGTGACCTAAACGCTGATAAGTTCAGACGACATGTATCAGACATATCAGACTGCACTTGTGGGTATCACTTTGAAGACGCAATTCACTTTTTCTATACCTGTCAAAAATACCATAATATCAGAAACACTATGTACCTCTACACCCATGGGTATGATTTAAAAACGGTATTACATGGCAATAGTTCAGTTAGCAGTTCTACAAACATGACTATTCTTAAATCAGTTCACGATTTCATTGTCAAAAACAAAAGATTCGAGTAGCTTAATTTTATGCATGTAGTAACTGCTATATCTTATTTCACAGACACCACTTGTACTGGCTTCATATATTTCATTTGTGCATTTATTATGTTTATGTTTAGCACTATTTTGCATATAATCTGATATATAACCAGCTGTTGTAAAGTTATTACCTGGAGAGGTATTTACATAAGCAAGTTTTGCTTGTTTACCGATCCAGATTTCTTTTGAAATAAAAATATGTTCAAACCAAAACCCAAAATTCAGAGGGATATATATGAAAAGAAAAATTGAAATAATACAAATATAAATTCCTTCCAGGTGAAGGCTATCACTTGAAATCAAATTAACAAAGCAGATTTTAGTCAATGACACATCGCTTGGGGTAGAAGTTCATCTCTGTCACCATGCTATGGTATTTCTGGAAAGGAAAGTTAACTTACAAAGTTGTAATAAACGTGAAAGGCTTAATGTTGCTGATTAAGCGCAAAGATATAAACTCTTACTGACTGCTCAGTAACATTCATGTAATATTAGTAATATTCAAATAAGTGTGCTTGTTCCAGGTGTGTGTGACGTAGGTACATATATATACTAGCCACATACAGAAACTGTGCACGGAGAAATATAGATATAAGGGCACACCGTCCACATATGAAATATAGGTTTGAACACAACAATTATTGGAGACAGGCAAACGCTCATGCACGTGCCATGCGATATGACGTCATTGATGGGGGCCTATGAACGTGCAATGTGTTACTGCACGTGCACCCTGTGCAGCTGTACACAGAAAGTGCAACTCAAAATTCGCTGTCGCTTTGGAAAGCATGATCTGTGGTCGTTCAAAAATTCAAAACTTCTCAGGGGCAGACACAAGCATATCACAAGCAAATCATGCCAAGATTGACAGCTGTACAGCGTCATGAAGCCATTGGAATGATCCGAGCGGGAAGGTGGCAACAACAGGTGGCAACACATTTCCAATGCCATCGTAACACGATATCGGCATTGGTGAGGCGTTATCAGAACACAAATGACGTTGCCGACCACCCACGTTGAGGACGTCCCCGAGTAACGACGCCAGGACAGGACAGATGGATTCGAGTTACACATCTCCGACACAGGTTCCAAACGGCAGTAACGACGTCCCAGACAATTCCTGGACTGCGCCGTATCCAACCCAACACTGTCAGGAATCGTTTACGTCAGTACGGGATTCGACCACGACGCCCTGCCATACGTCCCACCCTGACACACCGTCATCGCGTCAACCGTCTAAGATGATGTCGAAATCATGTTCGCCAACCTCGAATATGGTGGAGAAATGTTGTCTTTACAGATGAATCGAGGTTCAACATTTCCCACAGTGACGGGCGCCAACGTGTCTACCGGCGTTTGGGAGAACGTTATGCACGCAACTTTATTGTGGAGAGGAATCGTTTTGGAGTTGGCTCTTGATGATTTGGGGTGGGATAACCGCACGGCACCGAACCCCTATTGGTTGTTCAGGGCAATCTCACCGGTGTTGGCTACAGAGATCAGATTCTGAGGCCTGTGGTCATTCCTTTCCTGCAACGACATGGCCCGGGATTGACATTTCAACAGGACAACCCTCGTCCTCACACGGCTAGGGTCGCAATGGATTTCCTTCACCATAACAATGTCATTATACTGCCATGGCCTGCAAATTGTCCAGATCTCTCCCCAATAGAGCATGTGTGGGATGAAATGGAGCGCCGTCTGCGTCGTCTTCCACATCCTCCAGATAACGTCCGTGACTTGGCACAGGATTTGAGGAGGATATGGCAGGCCATTCCCCAGGCCTTCCATGTCCATTTGGTGGACTCCATGCGTCGCCGATGCACTGCTGTGATTCACGCACAGGGTGGTCATACCCGTTATTGACTTTGTGGCTTTGTCGTTTGACCCCTACTCAATTTTGATCTTCTGACGTCATCGTAACAGATGTTGTTCAGGTCCCGTTGACATTTTCTTATGGTCCGATCATTCAGCTGCTACAGCGTCTGCATCATTTTGTTCTTGCTGTGTTGTATTTCAATCCAGAATATATTTTCTCCGTGCACAGTTTCTTTATGTGGCCAGTATATAAGCGTATAGAAGAAACGTCAACAAACTTGTAACTATGTATAAAATAATAAATAAGCCATGTTCTTCATATATAACTGATCTTATACCACCAGCTGTGTCACAGAAGGTCAGTTATAATCTCAGAAACCGCCATGATTTTGTAGTTCCATTTGCACGGACATCTACGTTTTAAAGGTCTTATAGTATAGATACATTAGGCCAATGGAATAATCTAGCATCAGGAATCAGGGATAATCCGTCAATATGTTATTTTAAAGCTGTCGCATCTGAGCAGCCTACATCACCACCTATGCACTATAATGCGGTGGGAGATCTACAAACATATTGCACACTAGATTGAGACACAATTGTAGCACACTAAATTCCAACCTGTTTCGTGTTAATTATCTGATACTATTTCCTGTTAATGCGGAGCTCCTTGTGAAAATTCATTCCATTTCTTCTTCCAATGTACCTTATATGATGATATTAGGGAGACATTACTGACAGCTATCGATAATCTTGGAGGACAAACAACTCTAATTTGTATTCTTTTTGTGATCCAAGACAAATTTATAGAAACGACTAACAGATTCAGTAGCTAGCATATTATTGTTTCCAAACTGTTAATCATTAATATTGTTAAATCTATATACAACACTAACATGTATAATATTAGCATATGTATGAGATGCACACTGTCTTCACTTTCCAGCATATTGTACATATCCTTCATATGAGCACTGTATATACATTTATATTGCGCACTATGTTTCCACAATGTGATGCTTCAACTGTAAATTGTTAATTTTCATTATGCAATATTATTTAAAACTGTATATAGGGAGAAGGTGGTAATAAGTACTGCACTTGTGCCCAATCCCTTGCATGGTCATGTATTATGATCAGGGTCCATTGGTATCCCTTCAGCAAGTGCGAATCAGGTCCTAACACATCTGTTTTGTCATGTATCACGCGCTATACAGTCGAACCTCGCTTATCCGGACAATTTTCTAACCAGAAGTCCTTCCCCTACCTCATTTCTACCGAGGCATATGTGAAATGAATGGCAAAAATATGATTTATGAAGGATCTACCAATTACTAATAAAATACATTGTGCTGTACAGACTAACACAGCATGCTGTGACAGCGCGCTGCATTATTAAAACGGCTGAAGAAATGCATTTGTAGCCTAGTTTAGACTATAGACTTGTTTTGTGTACAGATACGACGGCGAGGTTGGGGCAACCTGACACACATGAGCATCAATAGACATGTTTACCTGTACTAGTTGAGAGCCAAGGTTGAAGTCATCCATGTGTGAAAAATGCTGTCTTTGTCGAACTGCATTATTAAAGTACATCAAGCTGAGACATCATATGCGTTCATCACAGTTTGTGACGGATTACGGATACCAACGAACTAGCACTTGTTTGGCAGGTAGGTTTTGTTCAGATTTATTATCTTGTTCTCTCTCTACCCTCTACTTCCTTAATCACAATTTAAATCCTAAATCGACTTTCGGGCCCAACACTGTGGCAATTTACGACCCTCTGTTTCTGTATTTACTTGAGCTCATTTCCCCTAAGGTTTACACATCTCATAAGACTAAGTCATCAATGATGTCAAAGCTGTCTGTCATGTTTCTTATGAACAGTTTATGAAGCTAAACAATGTCCAAGTGACTTAAACACAAAAACACTTCTGACAGAGATTTTCTTAAAAAAATACAGTAAAAATGCTTAACTTTGAGCACCCTGTTTTTCTTTAAATACGATGTACCGTGACATTATAAAGTGGTATGTAGGTAGATATAACACTAATCTATAGATGTAAACACATTTGAAGATACATCTGTGTGTTTAAAGTTTATTTTGACCGCCCGGGCCAAGTCGGACCCAACACAAGCCAAACACTTCTGATAACTACTATGTTGAGAATGTAGAGGGAAAAGGGCTTGACTTTGAGCTCCTTGTTTTCTTTAATTACAGCGATCTGAGACACTATAAAGTGGTATTTAGGTAGATAGTATACTAGTTTATAGATTTGAATCCATTTGAAGATACGTCTGTGTGTTTAAAGATGATTTTGACCGCCCGGGCCAAGTCGGACCCAACACAAGCCAAACACTTCTGATAACTACTATGTTGAGAATGTAGAGGGAAAAGGGCTTGACTTTGAGCTCCTTGTTTTCTTTAATTACAGCGATCTGAGACACTATAAAGTAGTATTTAGGTGGATATAATACTAATCTGTAGATGTGAATCCATTTGATGATACATTTGTGAGGTTTAAGTTGATTTTGACAGCCCGGGCCAAGTCGGACCGAACACTTCTGACAGAGATTTTCTTAAGAAAATACAGCAAAAATGCTTCATTTTGAGCCCCTTGTTTTCTTTAAATACGATGTACCGTGACATAATAAAGTGGTATATAGGAAGATATAACACTAATCTATAGAGGTAAACACATTTGAAGATACGTCTCTGTGTTTAAAGTTGATTTTGACCGCCCGGGCCAAGTCGGACCCAACACAAGCCAAACACTTCTGATAACTACTATGTTGAGAATGTAGAGGGAAAAGGGCTTGACTTTGAGCTCCTTGTTTTCTTTAATTACAGCGATCTGAGACACTATAAAGTGGTATTTAGGTAGATAGTATACTAGTTTATAGATTTGAATCCATTTGAAGATACGTCTGTGTGTTTAAAGATGATTTTAACCGCCCGGGCCAAGTCGGACCCAACACAAGCAAAGCACTTCTGATAACTACTATGTTGAGAATGTAGAGGGAAAAGGGCTTTACTTTGAGCCCCTTGTTTTCTTTAACTACAGCGATCTGAGACACTATAAAGTAGTATTTAGGTGGATATAATACTAATCTATAGATGTGAATCCATTTGATGATACATCTGTGAGGTTTAAGTTGATTTTGAGAGCCCGGGCCAAGTCGGACCGAACACTTCTGACAGAGATTTTCTTAAGAAAATACAGCAAAAATGCTTCATTTTGAGCCCCTTGTTTTCTTTAAATACGATGTACCGTGACATAATAAAGTGGTATATAGGTAGATATAATACTAATCTAATCATATGAAGCCATTTGATGATACATCTGTGAGGTTTAAGTTGATTTTGACAGCCCGGGCAAAGTCGGCCTAAACACTTCTGACATAGATTTTCTTAAGAAAATACAGTAAAAATGCTTGACTTTGAGCACCTTGTTTTCTTTAAATACGATGTACGTGACATTATAAAGTGGTATATAGGTAGATATAATACCAATCTATAGATGTAAACACATTTGAAGATAAATCTGTGTGTTTAAAGTTGATTTTGACCGCCCGGGCCAAGTCGGACCCAACACAAGCCAAACACTTCTGATAGAGACTATGTTGAGAATGCAGAGGGAAAAGGGCTTTACTTTGAGCACCTTGTTTTCTTTAAGTACAGCGATCTGAGACACTATAAAGTGGTATTTAGGTAGATAGAACACTAATCTATAGATGTGAATCCATTTGATGATACGTCTGTGAGGTTTAAGTTCATTTTGACAGCCGGGGCCAGGTCGGACCGAACACTTCTGACATAGATTTTCTTAAGAGAATACAGTAAAAATGCTTCACCTTAACGGCGCAGATTTCTTTTTAATGCGATACACCTGGACATTATAAAGTGGTGTATAGGTAGATATAATCCTAATCTATAGATGTAAACACATTTCAAGATACATCTGTGTGTTTAAAGTTGATTTTGACCGCCCGGGCCAAGTGGGACCCAACACAAGCCAAACACTTCTGTTGAGAATGTAGAGGGAAAAGTCGGAACCGAACACTTCTGACATAGATTTTCTTAAGAGAATACAGCAAAAATGTTTCACTTTAACGGCGCAGATTTCTTTAAAAGCGATACACCTGGACATTATAAAGTGGTGTATAGGTAGTTATAATACTAATCTATAGATGTAAACACATTTGATGATACATCTGTGTGTTTAAAGTTGATCTTGACCGCCCGGGCCAAGTCGGACCCAACACAAGCAAAACACTTCTGATAAAGTCTACGTTGAGAATGTAGAGGGAAAACGGCTTCACTTTGAGCACCTTGTTTTCTTTAAGTACAGCCATCTGTGACATTATAAAGTGGTAATTAGGTAGATTATAACACTAATCTATGGATGTAAACACATTTGAAGATACATCTGTCAGGTTTAAGTTTATTTTGATAGCCCGGGCCAAGTCGGACCGAACACTTCTGACATAGATTTTCTTAAGAGAATACAGCAAAAATGTTTCACTTTAACGGCACAGATTTCTTTAAATGCGATACACCTGGACATTATGAAGTAGTGTATAGGTAGATAGAACACTAATCTATAGAGGTAAACACATTTGAAGATACATCTGTGTGTTAAAAGTTGATTTTGACCGCCCGGGCCAAGTGGGACCCAACACAAGCCAAACACTTCTGATAGAGACTATGTTGAGAATGTAGAGGGAAAAGGGCTTCACTTTGAGCACCTTGTTTTCTTGATATACCGCGATCTGAGACACTATAAAGTGGTATATAGGTAGATATAATACTAATCTATAGATGTGAATCCATTTGATGATACATCTTTGAAGTTTAAGTTGATTTTGACCGCCCGGGCCAAGTCGGAGCGAACTGTGTGACTGTTGAGAGTATAGGGAGAAGAGAGCAACTTTAACCAACGTGTCTGCTTTAAATACAGTGACGTTATAAAGTAGTATTTACTTAGATATAGTACTATCCTATAATATAAACGCCATGCCGATAGATGGAAATTCGTATCACGATATCTGAAAGTATTTGATACGTGTCAAATCTTATTTCGTTTAACGATTGCTCTTTTACATGTTACCTAGATCAGCGACGCTAACACATAGCTCCACTTTCCAGTTTTCAAGTGATTTACTCCGAATTACTTAATTATGCTGCACGTTTTGGATTGGTGATTGTTCAGTAATGTCATGTGTGTATGTTGCAGCAATAATATGTAGGTATGATCGCCGATAATGAAGTAATTAGCCAATAACACTTTGGCCCGTCTTGGCCCGGCCCGGCCCGACTTTTAGGCAATCCCAGTTATATCACGGAGTGTCGACTTAGTGTGGGAGGAAATCCCGAAATGATGCAGGTCTCAAACGTTTACCCAGAGCACGGGTATGCCGCTGACAAAACCTAGAAACATATAGGCACCAATGGACGCAAGTCTGCACAACAAATTGCGGCACCTCAGACGACTGGGCCCCACGTCTTGATATAAATGTAATACCGTTAACCAATACACACTCACTACTATAACATGAACCCTTTAAACCCTACTCACTTATACTGAACAATTTATATGTTCATTATTTTGTACATCTTTATTCCATATTTACAGTTAGAAAAATGTTAACATTTCCATTACAGCGACTAGACACTGAACCGGTTAACCACAATCAAGAGAGAGACAGACAAGGTTCGTTAGCCGTTCCGAAAGATACTCAGAATGAGGTTACTGCTCATGTAGCATTTCTCAAATCATTTGATCATGCAAGATTCCATTTAATGTTAATCACATATTAATAAAAACATGTTTTCCTAGGTTTATCACACCGCAACTCGCCATACGATGTTGACGAGGAAACACTAATGATTACTGTTTCAAGATCAGATCTTGTGGCAAGACATATCGGTTTCGGGTTTGAGGTCCTCGGCGCAGAACTTGGACATTCTCTCATTATAATAGAGCAAATCAAAGCTGCACACCCTCTCTCACTTTATATGCAGATCTTATACATGCTTGCCAAGTGGAAGGAGAAGAACGGGAGATCTGCCACCAGACTGGTCCTCGTCAGAGTGTTGTGGAGATGCAATGGCAGATGTACCATTGAGTGGGAGGAAATTCTCAACATCCTTCAGGCATCATCATCTGTGCCAGTTAACTAAATCTAAGAATGTTGCCCGAGGGCCTTCTTTATCCCATCTACCGATTACCTTGTGACATAACTGACCCCTTGTCCTGTGGTTTCTTGGGAAAACAAGCGGCAACATAGAACATTTGCCTGTTTCATTGGCGGAACAAAGCAGAGGTGTGCACTAACTCTTTCCATGCCTTTACAAGTTGAAGTTAGGAGGTGGGATTCGTGTTTTTTACACAGAAATCATGATTTCTTCCCACAAAGAGTTTTAATGTCTCATAAATAAAGATTGTTTTCGTGTAAATATTTGTGTATGACTTGTTGATATTTACACATATTGTATGTATTTGTATTTTCTCTAACAAATAAAGTTTGTTTACGAGTAAATATGTGTTCATGTCCTGTTGAAAGATACGGAATAGGTAGAACATTTTAAAGTAGGTCGACATTAATAATAGTATTGTATCTAATTGTTTTGACACGGATAAGCTGGTCCCTGATGAGCGGATATGTTTACGTGATGCAGACGGGATCCACAATCCAGAATTTGACAACCCGTACAATCCATATTTTCTATGTATGTCATAGATAACTACTGTGCTTGTGTCTATGCAGCATAAGTCATTATACTTAATCATACCACACATCATTGCTTCAATAAGTGGGAGTTATATGTCTTAAGCACAGTGTTGATGGAGCCATACTTGCAGTGGTGAGACGTTGAGTAATAATCGATGTGTCTGTCCAAAGTGAAGTCGATCCATATCATGAATATTCGCCTATGCAGAGCGAGTGTGAATTAAACGTAAGCATTTATGTTAGGCAAGAATAGTTTCCTTAACACCCACCCACGTGACTCCTATACCTACTAAGTAGGAAATCGGAAAATCCGAAATCCGAAATCCGCTATGTCATGCCCGAACATTGTTTGTATCACATATTTCCTCTACCCTATCGTCTGGGGATCCATGGTCTGTAAAGTACAAATTATACACTTCATTTCTGTTCACAAACCACATGAATCATGTTCATCAATATTAAACGGAAAATGTTTTTAACACGGTATTGTTTGTGTCCAGGGTATATTCTTAATTACCGTTGCAAAAAATGTATCTCTAAATGTGCTTCTAATAAATCGTTGAATGTTGTTGAGTCATGTTCATGAGGGGACACGGGTGGCCCAGTCGTCTAAGGCGCCGCGATTCGCTGTGCAGAGTTGCGTCCCTTGGGCACGCCAGAAACCTATGATTGTGGGTTGGAATCCTGGTTCGCCCCGATTATGTTTCTAGATTTGTCAGCACCATACCCGTGCTCGTGGGTTTCACCGAAGTGGTAAACGTCTAAGACCTGCGTCACTTCGGGCTTTCCTCCCACATTAAGCTGACACGCCACGATATAACTGGAATACTGTTAAATGTGGCGTTAAACCCAACTCTCTCACTCACTCATGTTCATGAGTGAATTGATATACTAGGGTCTTAACGATGTAAGCAAGTCTATCAATAGCAGCAATGCGACAACGACTTACCCTGTCGAACACTAAAAAGGGATACAGGCCGTCAGCACTGTAGTGGCGATTTATAACAGAAAATGATTCAATCTCAGGTGTAAATGACGGAGAGCTATCCGAATTATTTTATTATTTCAGGAATGTTTGGATGGCGCTATATATATGTGTACAATTCGAAATATCCGAATGTATGTTTATGTTAATTCAACGAATAAACCTGAAAGATACGGAACTGGCCTATCACTTCAAATATCAAAGCGCAGACATAGGCTTCTTATATCTCATCAATATGAAAATAGTGAACAGCATTTCAATGAAATAAACAACTGCTACATTTTGACAGATACTCCAGTATCTCGTTTCGCAATATTGTTGTGCCCCGTGGGGATTCCGGTTTTATATTCCGGGCACTTATATTATACCCAGGGCACAGTGAACACCAAACTTAAAAGGATCCCCTTCTTTGAGATGAATTGTTTAGTTGTAACATTCCATAAACATTTGTGTGTCTTACTCAATGGGATTTGTTCACGGCGAGTGCTCTCCTTCAACCTCCAACGTCAATGAAGGACGTGAAGTGTCTTTTGTGAACTGGCTAAAAAAAACTGTCTTGTCATATAAATCAATTTTGGGGACCATGTGGAGCATGGTGAAAGATTTTATGTTTTCTTTGACCATGAGGGGGCACGGGTGGCCCAGTCGTCTAAGGCGCCGCGATTCGCTGTGCAGAGTTGCGTTCCTTGGGCACGCCAGAAACCCATGATTGTGGGTTGGAATCCTGGTTCGCCCCGATTATGTTTCTAGATTTGTCAGCACCATACCCGTGCTCGTGGGTTTCACCGAAGTGGTAAACGTCTAAGACCTGCGTCACTTCGGGCTTTCCTCCCACATTAAGCTGACACGCCACGATATAACTGGAATACTGTTAAATGTGGCGTTAAACCCAGCTCTCTCACTCACTCATGTTCATGAGTGAATTGATATACTAGGGTCTTAACGATGTAAGCAAGTCTATCAATAGCAGCAATGCGACAACGACTTACCCTGTCGAACACTAAAAAGGGATACAGGCCGTCAGCACTGTAGTGGCGATTTATAACAGAAAATGATTCAATCTCAGGTGTAAATGACGGAGAGCTATCCGAATTATTTTATTATTTCAGGAATGTTTGGATGGCGCTATATATATGTGTACAATTCGAAATATCCGAATGTATGTTTATGTTAATTCAACGAATAAACCTGAAAGATACGGAACTGGCCTATCACTTCAAATATCAAAGCGCAGACATAGGCTTCTTATATCTCATCAATATGAAAATAGTGAACAGCATTTCAATGAAATAAACAACTGCTACATTTTGACAGATACTCCAGTATCTCGTTTCGCAATATTGTTGTGCCCCGTGGGGATTCCGGTTTTATATTCCGGGCACTTATATTATACCCAGGGCACAGTGAACACCAAACTTAAAAGGATCCCCTTCTTTGAGATGAATTGTTTAGTTGTAACATTCCATAAACATTTGTGTGTCTTACTCAATGGGATTTGTTCACGGCGAGTGCTCTCCTTCAACCTCCAACGTCAATGAAGGACGTGAAGTGTCTTTTGTGAACTGGCTAATAAAACTGTCTTGTCATATAAATCAATTTCGGGGAGCATGGTGAAAGATTTTATGTTTTCTTTTACCATGAGGGTGTACGGGTGGACCAGTCATCTAAGGCGCCGCGATTCGCTGTGCACAGTTGCGTCCCTTGAACACGCAAGAAACCTATGATTGTTGGTTCGAATCCCGGTTCGCCCCAATAATGTTTCTAGGTTTGTGAGCACCATACCCGTGCTCGTGGGTTTCACCGAAGTGGTAAACGTCTGAGACCTGCATCACTTCGGGCTTTCCTCCCACATTAAGCTGACACGCTCTGATATAACTGGAATACTGTTAAAAGCGGCGTTAAGCCCAACTCACTCACTCACTATAAATCAATTTTCTATTTGAGTAAAGTTTAATTCCTTTGTTTTGTTGTACTTGTATCTACTTTGATGGCTTTTTCTTTTGTCATTTATGTGAAACACAGTAGCAGTAAACGAATGGGAATTAAGGGCTACAATTCATGTTACATATGTTTATTGATAAATCATAAATGTAAGGTTATAACATCATTTTCAGACACCAGATATAATAACACATACCCAATGCACAATCGGCGTTAAATTGATATTAAAAGAAAAGTATACTTCGTTTTGTTGTAAAACGCCACAGGCAGCTACATCCCATCTATGTTTCGGTGGTCTGTACACAATCGAGTCTTGGGGTCTATTTTAACCTGCAAAACCATGGGGGCGTCTGTGATAGATGTCCCATGTTTGCAAGTGTCTGTTATAAAAATGAAGTTGAAATCCTGATCTCACAACAGATGATATGGAAGGCCATACAGTCCAAATAGCCTTCCCAAATAGCTCACAGACACCAACTGTTTCTTTTCATCCATCAAGTAACTCTCATAGAATGTCCAAGAGTGATGACGTATCGCCAAATCACAACCTGCAGACTGACAGATGCGCAAAGAGTACCATGCTGTTCCAAGACAAGATCATATTTAGAGAGATATGATAAGCACTGATGTTGATTCCAATGGCAACATGTCCAATTCTCATGTGCACAGACATATGCTGATCTTCCATGACACCATGAATGATACCTACGTAGTTTGGCCTGGTCCGTGGATCTGAAATGATAAATGACACTGTAGACTACACTGCAACAAGAATACATCCCATTGACGTCACAGTATATGTTAATATTAAAGTTGTTGCCCCCTTTTGTGCTTAGGTAAATGATACAGTTAAATGATACACACTGTGTATTAAGACTTTGGGTACCTTAACATGTTCCCCATACCGCACCAACTACTTACTGAACATATAGGGACGTGAACTACCGTCACCTAGCAATTGCAATTAGTACGGATAATTGGATTGGAAATACCTGCCAGGGTGGAGTGTATTTTCAGATTGTGCATGATACCATTACAATGCATCCATACGAATACACTGTCATTGACAATACGGTTAGTTCCATGACTGAAAAGGTTTGATGATTGATCTACATGTTGTTTATACATTATCTAATCTGTAGCCGCACTTTTGATCAAGAGTGGCGCAAGTATTACAGTTGTTAATAAGAACGGACGGACGGCACTACATATATCTTGTCAGAATGAACATGAATCTGTAGCCGCACCTGTGATCAAGAGTGGCGCTAGTGTTACAGCTGTTAATGAGAACGGACGGACGCCACTACATATAACTTGTCAGAATGAACATGAATCTGTAGCCGCACCTGTGATCAAGAGTGGCGCTAGTGTTACAGCTGTTAATGATAACGGACGGACGGCACTACAAATAACATGTCAGAATGAACATGAATCTGTAGCCGCACCTGTGATCAAGAGTTGTGCTAGGGTTACAGCTGTTAATGAGAACGTACGGACGCCACTACATATAACTGGTCAGAATGGACATGAATCTGTAGCCGCACTTTTGATCAAGAGTGGCGCAAGTATTACAGTTGTTAATAAGAACGGACGGACGGCACTACATATATCTTGTCAGAATGAACATGAATCTGTAGCCGCACCTGTGATCAAGAGTGGCGCTAGTGTTACAGCTGTTAATGAGAACGGACGGACGCCACTACATATAACTTGTCAGAATGAACATGAATCTGTAGCCACACCTGTGATCAAGAGTGGCGCTAGTGTTACAGCTGTTAATGATAACGGACGGACGGCACTACAAATAAATGTCAGAATGAACATGAATCTGTAGCCGCACCTGTGATCAAGAGTTGTGCTAGGGTTACAGCTGTTAATGAGAACGTACGGACGCCACTACATATAACTGGTCAGAATGGACATGAATCTGTAGCCGCACCTGTGATCAAGAGTGGCGCTAGTGTTACAGCTGTTAATGAGAACGGACGGACGGCACTACATATAACTGGTCAGAATGGACATGAATCTGTAGCCGCACCTGTGATCAAGAGTGGCGCTAGTGTTACAGCTGTTAATGATAACGGACGGACGGCACTACATATAACTGGTCAGAATGGACATGAATCTGTAGCCGCACCTGTGATCAAGAGCTGTGCTAGGGTTACAGCTGTTAATGAGAACGGACGGACGCCACTACATATAACTTGTCAGAATGGACATGAATCTGTAGCCGCAAGTGTTGCAGATGAGGACAAGGAAGGATGGACGGCACTACATAAACCTTGTATTGTTTTTTATTCTCAACTCCCTGAGGATTTGACACTATTCTTGAAACCATAATATTTTATCAAATGAAATGCATATTTCCCAATAATTCATTCGTATGAAAATAGGTATTTTCCGGTTTGAATATTAAAGAAAATTACAAACACTTACCTCTAAACACTGGAACATGGAGAGCGACAGTTAGGAGCCCGCTGACACCCATACCGGATGAAACAAAATGACATTGGGCTCGCCACAAACCTTTTTATACCTTACTATTTATTTCCTGTTTCTATGATTCTATGTTACTTAGTGCTCTGACATTCCTACATTGTTAGCTGAGATCCTGGGTATAAACACCTTCCTTGCCTTCAGCGATGCAATGTACAATGTAGAAGTACTGAGGGATGTATTTCTGCACTATGTTCTACCCTGGTCATTAACGTTGTTACGAATGACTGTTTTCCCACAATCAGCCCGACAGGGTGTGCTGATACGTGTTTCTGTCACTGTGCATCCGTGTGTGTGTATTTGTACGTGCGTCTCTCTCTCTCTCTCTCTCTCTCTCTCTCTCTCTCTCTCTCTCTCTCTCTCTCTCTCTCTCTCTCTCTACCTCTACCTCTACCTCTCGCTACCTCTCGCTACCTCTCGCTTCCTCTCTCTCTCTCTCTCTCTCTCTCTCTCTCTCTCGCTACCTCTCTCTCTCGCTACCACAAGCAGATATAGTTACTTTGACAAGGTAAAGAGGACTTGCCCTGAACATATTAGTGTTTGTATATGGTTAAGTCATTCAGAATTATATGTTTACACAGCCGATAGACGACTGGCTGTGTGACCCGATTTGAAGCGCTCAACGTTGATCTATTTATAACACAGATGGTCCCGACATTTGCCAACAACCTGTCCTCTCAAAAGCTGTCGCCGGTGAACTGTTTATAGCGTGACGTCACACGTCACACCCCTTTTCTTATCATCAGTGAATGACCTGCGCGACAGTTTTCCTCCGAAATTAAGTTGACACTGCATTAAATAACACAAACTCTCCATTTAGCAGATATTTCTAATTATTCTTGTAAAGGGTTTTGTTGCTATAATAATATCTGCCAAGTTCAATTGGAGGTATTCCATCATACCTCCGATGTCAGGATTTTGAGATCTGATTGGTTCACGTGGTCTTGATCAAATACTATGCATCCCGCCTGGGAGGGATTTTTTTTTATCGATTTTACTTTTACTTTTACTTATTAAGCAGTATGTATTAGCAGTGTAGCAGCAGTATATCAAAGGCATTATGACGTCACAAACATACTGATATCCGTCAACTATGATTATGTTTTTACGTCACCCTCTATTGTCATAAACTGTTACGTCACAGATATTATGACGTCACAAATACTGCTTTGCGTCGCCTATACCCCGTTAAAGTTTTCACCTAAAGAGCCGTTCGGCGGAGAAAGATTTTGTGTGCATAAAAGAGTTTTGACAAGCACACATATCTACACAATCCTTTTTGTTTATTTGAAGCTTATACACCTGAAGAAATTACTTGTTATCCATTTGACATTCCTAATCAGCAATACAAGCTGACAGAAAAAGAAACTGTATATTTTGTCCCGTGTCCGTGCGTGCGTGCGTCAGTATGTTTCCTGTTTTCTAAGCCACATGATTGTCGCACATATGTTCCTTATGTATCAAAAGAGATGAAGAAAATATGCTGATTGGACGTGACATCAACCTACATATTTGGACATTGTAATCATCTTCATCCTGTGTACAATCCATATTGTGCAATGTGTATCTGTGCCTGTATACAAACTTGCGTCCCAGTCTTACTACTTTACACTAAGTGTACATGGATTTGTCTCATTTCCTTATCCATGTTCGAAAATCTGGAAACAGAGTCGATAGAGTTACCTCCCTTTAATCAGCTATCACAAACCCACATTGACATCACTGACAATGTATTGTCTACGACTTTTCTTGTATATTAGTGCACACTGGAGACATGTGAAAACCATGTTAACAACGACCGTGGCAGATTGTGCTATGTAGTGGGTGATGTATGTGATAAGAGAGGTTTGATGTGAAATTGGGATAGGTTCTAACGACAACACTTCACCAACAGTGCAATGCTCAGGAGGTCAAATGTATACAAAAATGTTGCGTATTCATCTCAGAAACAAATGGTGTATGGGGACTAGCATTGTTAAAGATGTATAGTGGAAAGATTCAATTGTAACTTCTGGTGATTGGCTACTGGTTATTTGAAAGAAAGAGTTTTCGGTTTCACAACGTAAGTAGATCAGAATATCTTATCATGGTGTACAAATATCATTCCCATTTTAAAATGATAATCATTATGCTAATAATTCTACCATAAATTTGTAAATTACTCGATTCTGATTGGTCAATCAGGGGGTATTAAATCACAAGAAACCCCCTCTGATTGAAACAGCTGGTTTGACGGTCAAAGGTATCATTTGTATCTATTCTGGCCGAAGTCAATTTTACACTAAGTATTTATCACTGCATGATTATCTTATGCACTATTAACAACAAAACAAGTCCAAGTGTTTTAGTGCAAACTTATATGATGAAACATGTGAATGTAGATAACCACGTATATTATCATTTCCTCAATATCACAATTCACCGCTCATATTCCCGCTCATTTCTTCTTCAAATTTTCAAATGAATGCAGCACGTTAAATTGCATACATCCCGCTACTGACATATGTAATTCATGTATATCATTTCTGTATCGGCACAGCAACATAATTTTTCCTATGTACTGTGATCAGCTTGAGTATGACATCATATATCCAACCAGCCTTCCCGAAAAGCCCTGACACAATGTTTACATTCCGGTATGAGATCCTGGGTAGTTCCTCCAGCGACATGTATTTATAGCCTTGTTCGGATTTTCGGATCAAGGATTTTTATCGAGATCGATCGGTGCAAACAAGGTTCACTTTCAATGTATTATATACCAGTGTCAGATTCCTACACACACCGATATATACATATAGTTTTCCTTGGTAATATTGCTTTGAGCCACAAATATTATGTGCAAACACCTTCAAGGCATTATGTCGGATGATATCTGAATGTGTATACTATTAATTGACTATTTTAGTATTTATGATTTATTGTCTGTAACATAGACTGAAGACAGAAGCATTTGTATCGTAACCTCGAAGGAAATGTGATGGGATGTATTTAATGGTTCTTTTATTTATCAAATTCTGAATACCGTGTATTGGTGATAAGGAACATAAGAACGACAGGCTCATCTACATCTGAGCTGATGAGGGCCACAAGTGAACAAGTGAACTGAATACATCAAGTAGTGAAATGGTAACTACAAAAGGAATCAACTCATTTTGGTTGAATCTTGCTGTTAATATCTCTGGATAAATTTAAAGTATTAAACCAGGTTCAAGACAAGTTATTATAAGTAAATACAACTTTTAATAATTCAAATCACCATTAACAATCTTCAGCCTAATTTATAAGTACATTTTGTACAATTATCGTTTGCAACACAAGACGTCTTATTCAATCAATAATAATTTGAGTGAGAGGTAAAGTTTTACCCTGCTTACATTCCAGCAATCACGACGAGAGACACATGACGTCCTACATTGTCCCCATGATGGGAATTTTAACTGGATCGTCGTTGTGTTGAGCCAACGCTTCAACGGCTTAGGTATCACACCATCCCAATATCAAATCACAATCTGACTTCATTGAACATAAGGCAACATAAACACGTTTATTATTTACTGCATCTGAACATGACAGATGGCCAAGAAAGGACACATATCGATATGACTTGTTGAACAGCCTACAAGAAGACAGACATGAGACTCTTATGGATCACAATTTTCTCTATGATTTGTAACGACGTTTCAGGACTACTTCTTGTCCCTTCACCTGCATCATCACCGGCCTATTTTACCCATACCCATCAGCCTGATATGAAATCCTAAAATCCGAACTCCGCGATCTGCGATCCAAAAATCGGTTGTAAGTTGACTGTAACATATGCCTGTGACTGACAATGTACTACAATGTGCTACACCACAGGGGAATCCCCTTATGCTACTCCAATATATAAATCCTGTCAGAAGAGTCGACAGTATCAGATTGTGTCAGCTGACTGTCGGATACACATGTGTGGAGTAGAGGCATAAATACAGACAGTATGGGTAATATTGTTTCATGCTGGCCAATATCCCGATATCAGGTGGGTCAAGATGTTATGTTTACAGCCATAGGCATATTTCACGTGCTTTCCCTATTCGAACTTTAGCATGTCAATGTTTATAATGCGCGTCGGCGTGTGTACATGTTCATGTGAATTTGTCATTGCATTGTCTTGTTTAGTTTATGTAAGATTATCCATATTGTTTTATTGCTTTGATGGTGTAGCTATCAATCGTGTTTGAAACAGTGTTTATTCGATTCCAGAGACTGTCCACCTCAGAGAACTCTATAAACTGCCAAAATGAACCCAATCTGACAGAGAGAGTTACATGTACGTTAAATTACATTGTTTGTTGTTTTGTTTGCTTGTATTTTGTTTTGTTGTTGTTTAAAGTCGCACTCAGCAATATTCCAGCTATATGACGGCAATCTGTAAATAATCGAGTCTGGACCAGACAATCCAGTGATTAACATCATAAGTATCGATCTACGCAATTGGGATACGATGACATGCAACAAACATGTTAGCGAGCCTTACCACCCGATCCTGTTAGTCGCCTCTTACAACAAGCATAGTCGCCTTTTAGTTTGATGTTTTAGTTTTATTGAATTTAAACAATTTGCTTGTCTTATTATATTTCAGGAAGTTTAGTTCTGTGTGTACCAAATGATTTCTGTTTACGTTACTTTATGTATGTACCATATGTTTTTGTTTAGTGAAGCTATTTGGAATAATGAATGTGAACTGAATGTTGTAACATCATCTATCAAACAAAATGTACACAAGTAAATAGGTAGTTTATTGTGAGTTTAATGTTGTAGGGCCAACACACTGGAACCAAGCATATGCCTTAAATGATGAGATGTTGGATACTCCTGTATCTGGAAGAGATCTCAGCCTTGTTGCAAGTCATATCGGGATTGGGTTCGAGTCTGTTGGCATCGAACTTGGACTGACTCTCGTGGTTATCGAACAAGTGACTTGTGCACATCCATGTTCACTATATATGCAAGTTGTACACATGCTTACCAAGTGGAAGGAG